AGGATGGGAGTCTGAACTCAGCCACAGTGCTCTGCTCCTTCCTCCTTCACAGTTACTGTGAAGGAGCCTAAGGACCAGAGGAAGCAGATAAAGCCAGTGTTGCTCTTATTCCCATTTTAAGAAGTCAGAATTAAAGCTCAAGAGATTGACAGAGGCTGGAGATGTTGCTCAGTGGTAGAGCACTTGCCTAGCATGTGCAAAACCTTGGGAGAGAGAGAGAGAGAGAGAGAGAGAGAGAGAGAGAGAGAGAGANAGAGCACTTGCCTAGCATGTGCAAAACCTTGGGAGAGAGAGAGAGAGAGAGAGAGAGAGAGAGAGAGAGAGAGAGAGAGAGAGAGAGAGAGAGAGATATCTTAAGATTTGCCTAAAATAGCAGAATTAGAGTTAAACAGAGGCAGGAGTATCTGCAGCAAAGGCCATTTCGCAAATACAGATCCCATAAAGCCTCTAGATACTGTGCTGTCCCTGACTTGGACCCAGTAAAGCCTCTAGATACTGTGCTGTCCCTGACTTGGACCCAGCATTTCCTCAAGTTCATCATATGATCTTTCACGGCCATTTGCTGTCCTTGCTTATCATGAGGACCTGGGGGAGGTTGTGAGAAAGTCAACCTGCAGTCTACCTGAGGGTAGGAGATGGCAGTGTGGGGGATAGAGCCCCTGATGGCATCTTAGACTCTGATGGGAGTTCAAAGCCAGACCTGAGTGTGAACTTATCAGTTCCAGCGTTTCATTTCTACTTCTGCTGAAGTAGAAAACAACATTTCCTTAAACCTCAGGACTGTCTGCTGATCTGTAAGGCCATTCAGTGAGACAGGGAATTGTCTTGTGTCCTGACAAACTGAAATTAGGAAATGAACTTAGACCATCTTGTGTGAATCCTTTGCCTTTTACTCTGAAATATATTTTACTAAATACTTTTGTATTCAAATGTGATCAGTGATTTTTTTAAAGCATATTTGATAGAAGATATGTGTGTCCACAAGGGGGCTTCATTTTCCTAGTTTTCAAGTTTCTCTTCCTATGATAAATACTATGTATTTCGTCTTCTTGTTTATACATTGAAACTAGAACCATTTGCTTTTTCTTGTTTCTTTCTTCCTTTCTTCTTCTTCTTTTTTTTTTTTTTTTTGTTGTTGTTGTTGCTGGGGATTAAACCCCAGGGCCTGGCACATGCTTGACATGAGTTCTACTACTGAGCTGCACTCCCTAGCCCTACTTGCTTTTGATAAATACTAAAAAGAGCTTCAAGAACTAGGCGTAGTTGAAAAATTGGAGCTGCAAAATTTGAAATGACAGCTGAAGTCCTGAGGGGGTCAAATGGTGGGATAATGAATTCAGGAACATTTTACATCCTTCATATGAAACTCAAAAGAAAGGTCTGAGTCTTTAAATATTAAGATCATAATTTGGATTAAATTAATAAATTCCACTAACCTCTTAGAGCTATGTTTAAAAAAATTTTTTCCAAGTTGATTATTTCATGGGCTTCAGATTGTTTTTAAATTTGAGCTCAAGTTCGGATTCATTGTTGTTCTTCTCCCCACCTAACTGAAGTTTCTGTTACCAAGCATGGGGCGCTAATCAGGCCTTCCCTGAAACAATGGTGCTGTTAGTTGAAGTGAATTTGATTTTATAAGTGAAGACATGAGGGTGCTAGCTCTTGTTCCGAGTGGCAGGTTTTCCATTTGTTTTGCAAGATGGTATATTCCAGAGCGGGGAGGAGAAAGCAGCTTTCCCCTGTAGAGGAACTGCCGTGGAAAACATGCTTCCTCCTGCTCTTCTGCGCCTGGTGTTGGAAACAACGAGTGTTTACAAGTTACAGAGGAGAAGTGGTAGCACATTGCCAAGTCAGTTTGAGTTCCTAAACAAATGAGAATAAGACATGTAAAAATATTTTTTTAAGTGTAAAAAGTGAAAAAGTGGAATGAGTGGGTTTGGCATTTTGTTGAACAAGCCAACTTGTATATTTTATACAGACTATAGCCGTTCAAAGGGTAAAATGAAGGCTAAAACCTTATAATTTGAACATTAAGTTGATTAGCATTTCTGGTAGCTGTTAAAAAATTGATGTCCTAGAGCTTAATGCTGAAAATCTTTAGTGGGCATATTCTAAAAGGCAAGGTATAAGAGCATCTGCTGATATAACAGTCATTAAAAAGATAAACTAATTATCTTATTGTGGATGCTATAGAATTAAACAAAATCTTCAGACAGTGTTCTAGAATAGCCTCAGTGGTAGTAATCTTCACAATCAGAAGGACTTTTAAATGACATTGGTATTGATATTAAATGATATTCAAAAAATCACATCTGGGCTGGGGTCATAGTAAATGGTATGGTAAATAGCATTTGGCTAGCATTCAAGAGACCCTGGAAATAAAACATAACAAAACAAACCCATTAACATCTATCCTCAGAGCCAAATCTGATGTAGAAGATGGGTAACAACATAAAGCTGACATTTATTGAAGGCTTACTATGTGCCAGGAAAAGTTGTTCTAATACATCATTTAGATCAAATCGCTCAGGATACATAATAGCTCCAATCATTCCTACTTTGCTGATGAGGAAAAGAAGACACAGAGAAATGAATAAATGTGGCTAAGTTTACATAGCTGATAAGTAACTGGAACCCCATCAGTCACCAGACAAAACAAAATAACATGTTCTTGAAACACCTGAAAATAATTTCAAAATATTCTGAGCAGTGCCCTTGTTATTGACATGTGTTGTTTTTCTACACAGTCACCTTGAAGAGGGAAACGCTCATTTGGATGTGTAAATTACAGTGTGTATGCACACGTGTGTGCGTGTGTATGCCTGCATGCATATGTGAAGAGTGCGAACATTTATTTATACACAATTACTTTGTATATACTTTTGAAAGCTCAGCTGTTAGCTTTCAAAAATGTTAGGGACGATTCACAAAGTAGTTTTTCTGTGCCATCAGTAGATGGAGCATTAGAAAGAATCAGTAAGGGTTTTTATCTTTTAGCTCCATCATGCCTGATATAAAGACATGGGGATCTAATATACTTTCTGATCTCCATGTCTCAAATTTTGCTTAAATAGTTACAAGGTGATTAGTGGGCATGGACTGAGTTATTTCATAAACTGCTTGCTTTACCGAGGAAAATGTTTCCCTTTAACCAGAAAGTTTAGCCATTAAATGGCTTAGGACTGAAGTTTTAAACATGTTGGTAAAAAGCATAGAAGAAGATTAAGTTCTAGTCAGAGAGCAAAGAATGCTCAGGAATGTGCTCATAGTGTTTCTGTGGGTAAGAAAAAAATACACTTTAGTGATAAAACTACTTGTCTTTAGTCTTAGTGAAATATGGAATGCAGGATTGCGGAAACCCAGAACAGCCTGATTCCATCAGATGTGATCCAAGGTCCAAATTAAGCATCTTAAACTCCACACATTCAAAACTGAACTCCTGATCTTACTCCCCAAGTCCACTCCACCTGCAGTCTTCTCACTTCAGGGCTGGGAACTCCTCCTCCTAGCTGTTGCCACCCTAACCATGCGTCATTCCGTCTTCCCCACCTCCCCACTTGTAGCTCCTCAGACCCTGTTGGCCTTACCCTCAGTGGACACCCAGAACTGGACTACTTCCCACCACTTCTGCAATGTCTTTCATCCCTCTGTGGGATTATTGTAGTCACCCATTGCCAGGTCTCCCTGCTTCTCCCGTGCCCAGTCTGTTCTTGACCCAGAAGCCAAAGGTTTGCATATTTTCTATACTAGGTCCCTCCTTGCCAAGGGCCCTAGATGGATTTACCGTAGCACTCAGGGACAAGCTGATCCATCCCCTTTTACTCCTCATCTTGCTCATTCTGCTCCTTCCTCATTGACCTCTTCCTGCTTCTCTTAGAAAGGAGGCCACTCCCAGCCCAGGGCTGTTTGTCCTGCCTGGAGGGACCTTTCCTGAGTATTTACATGTTGACAGGCCCCCTCCTTCACCTCCTTCCAGTATTTTCTCCAAGAAGCCTCCTATTTACCATTTTCTCCATTCCTGAACCTTTTATCTCATTTATTTTTTCCATAAAGTTGTGAATTCTAAAAAATACATAATTTATTTTCTTATTACATAATTTATAAATACATAATTTATTTTTTCTCTGTGTCCCTTTTTCTCCTCCATTGAAATGTAGACTCCAAGAGGTCAGGACCAAGTTTGTTTATCAATATTTTATATGCAGCCCCAATGTTTATATGATATGTCAAAATCCATTCTACTGTCATATATTTAGTTAAAAATATAGTCATATTTTTAGTTAAAAAGAATAAATAAAAAAAGAAAACATTTTATATGTACCCAGAACATTGCCTGGGACATAGTAGATGCTCAATAAATGTTTGATGACTTGTTGAATTAAAATGTTTGGGAAATGAAAATAGTTTTAAATATAAGTGCAAAACAGCAAGTTATTCAGATATAGTTGTAGATGTGAGCTATCAGTACAACAAACATTACAAGGACAAAGGAACCAGATATTTGTTTTCCTATAAAATATGTAGAATAAAGGGGAATTTGAATTGTTCAGGGGGTTTGTTTTCCCCTCAACAATTTAAAAGCAGACTGAATAATTTGCTTCTTAAAGAGAAACCTTTAAACCAGCCTGATGGGGTAGGTTCTGTATTATCTGAGATGACACATACAGTATTTAGCATATGCTTGGCACTCGAAAGCTGCTTAGTAACTATCAGCTTTTATGATCATTACATTTTATGTAAGTTCATATGCATTTTAAATAATCAACTTTGAATAATTTTGAATACTATTTTTATTAAAACCTCATAAATTACATGCCTTGAATGTCATCTGGCTTTATATGTCTGTTTTGAATTAAGAACACTCATTCTTTAAAAACTCTGGCGAATAGGTATAGTTTTTAAATCCTTGTACAGGGGCCTGAGTGTCCTGCCTATCCTGTTTACTAATGTGAGGAGATCAGAATGAATCCTCAAAAGCTTGTGGGCCTCTTCTTTTTCAGGTATGGGTGAATTCTGTCACAGAGGTGACCAGAGGTGAACTCTGTGCAGAAGATGAGGACTCCTCCCCACAGGACCTGGTCTACTGGGTCACTCCACCCAGCAATGGCCATCTGGCTGACAAGTCCTTTCCTGGAAGAATCATCCAGAACTTCACCCAGGCTCAAATCAACAAGGGCCAGCTAGTGTTTGTACACTCTGGTAAGTCACAGAGCAGAGCAGAGCAGGGTAAAGCTGAAATGTGTTTCAATCAGTGGTTAATATGGTAGTCAGAGTCATTGGCTGAAAACCACAGATCTGGGAGTTTTCTAAACTCTGCAACTTTTTTTTTTAAGTGACAAATTTAATAAGGCTAACAATAGCAAACATGAGAGAGTAACCCTGACTCCTCCTACATGGCTTATTTCAATGTCATATTACATCTATAACCTTCTTAACCACTCACTAACATAGCATGTCTTCTCTGTCACTCTCCATCTTCTTCCCTCACTGTCTGGCATAATGTGGGTTAATTTGGACATTTATTTGTTGCCTGTCTTCCTTATATAATCACGGTAAGGGCAGGACCTCTTGAATCCACACTTCCTAGAACAGTAACACATAGTAGGTGTTCAATAAATAAAAAATTGCTGAAAGAATGAAATAATATTGAACACCTATTATATACCAGAAATAATATTCTGGATGCTAAGGATGCACTGGCAAGCAAAGCAGATATTTGTTCAAGGAACAAATGAATGAATGAATGTAACTGATTTCTAAAAGGCCCTGATACTGAAAGACCTTTTCTGTTTCTCCTTATTCATCAATCAATCAATATGCCAAATGGATCCTGGAAGTCTGCAGAAAGGGTGGCCCAAGCACTTTGCAAGGGCATCCTGGCTTTGTTTCCAGGCTGCTGCGTCAGTGGACTGAGAGAGGCAACAGAGGACAGGGCGGGGCTTGGGGGGGGTGGCTTGTGTGGTTTGTGAGGAAGCATGAGCCAGGAGGACACAATCAGAAAGCTAAGATGTCATATTTATTCTGGTATTTTGAATTATCTTCTTTGAAGATGCAGTAAAGAAAATAAAGATAAGACACCTTCTAAATATAAATGTAGTAATATCTTGGTTACTTTTGAATTTAATGCAAAAGATTCCCAAAGAATCTGAAAATAAGCTGGGCATGGTGGTGCATGCCTGTAATCCCAGCGGTTTGGGAAGCTGAGGCAGGAGGATCTAGAGTTCAAAGCCAGCCTCAGCAACAGTGAAGCACTAAGCAACTCAGTGAGACCTTGTCTCTAAATAAAAAATACAACACAAAGGACCAGGGATGAGGCTCAATGGTCGAGTGCCCCTGAGTTCAATCCCCGCTATCCCTCTCTCCAAAAAGAGAATCTGAAAATAATTTACTCTGTGAATTATTACTCTCTCACCTAGTGCTTCCAAACTTAAGCCTGGGATGCTTTGGTGTTAGATTTATTGACTGTGCCAGGTCCACCCACATTCATGGCAAAACATTGCTTCTAGACTGGATGATGTTTTTCCAAATATGTATTTCCATTTTTAAAATATGTACAGATGTGCTGTTTAATAAAATACAATTCATTTAAAGAGGCACTGAGTTGGTAGGAGGTTTCTTCCAGTGACATATTTTTTTTGAGAGTGGATACCAAAAGTCCAAATATTATTATGTAAGGGCTTAGAAATATTTTTTCCTTTTATGAAAGGATTGCCTTATTTTTGGAATGGAGAGAACTTCTCTAGAGACTTGTGGGTGGGGGGCAGGGTTGAATTTCTAAAGTTTTCCAGTCTACACTGGGAAGCAGTCAGTGATTCTCTACTACCTTCAGAAACCCTCTGAGCAGTAGAGAGTAATGATCTCATTCATTTTCAGGATGAAGAAACTGAAGTTTAGAAAGATTAAATTGGTCTCACCCTAAAACTGGGCTCTCTCTGCCAGCTCCAGCCCACTGAAGAGCAGAGTGGGTTGAAGAACTGAAGTTACTCTCTGCAATGAAGGATTAAAACAAAATTTAGCTCTCTGGGCTAATTGAGTTGTCATTTACTGGGTCAATATTTGCTTTTGAGAGTAGAGAAAATAATTTCTCCTAGATAAGCAGGAAGCAGAATTAAAGGCAAAGTTGATGTGAGAGCCATTACATTTCCTAAATGGACTTTGAGGCAAGCTAATAACTCTCAAAATGTCCAGAGCCCAGCTACAGATGAATCTGTTGCTGAAACCAGCTGGCTCTCTCTAGCACATCTGTCCATCATCAGTCCCAAACAAAGACTTAGGTTTAATTAGTCTCTCTTAGCATTTTATATGTGCAAAGTGCTCCACCATTAATCTAATTACCTATTCCACATAACAACCTAAGTAGGTTGACAAAACCAAGACGTGAGAGGCTAAGTGATTCACTTAAGGTTGACCTTCTGGAAGTACTGTCTGGAAAAATCTGAGCTCATACAATAGTAGATCCACAGTTCAACCCTGTTTTCACGTCTCCTTCTTTATCTTTCCTTGGTCTTAATTAGTCTATTAGGGCACCCCTCAAATGTTATTTCACATTTATTTTGGCATACATCCTTTGATTCCATCTTCATTTTGTTTCTGGATTCATGAAATATTCGAAGTACCCCCATTCTCTCCTTAATTTTGTGTTTCATTTCAAAGTGCTGTTTCTAGAAAAAAAAATGCAAAACAACATTTGGTTGTGGACTTTGATTATGAAATAGGCAGATTCAGAATCTGCCCCCCGCCCATGGTGACTTTTGAGTGTTTGGGGAAATTTTTAACAATCTGCAGCCATTTTTTTTTTTTTTTTTGGGTGAGGAACTCTCATTGTTTGCTTAGATAACAGAGACCCAAAAGCCTGTCAAACGAACCACCTATCTTTTATTAAATTGCGTTATAAAGGCAGCACTGGTACCTAATTGCAGAGTCTGACCATGTCTCCCTCGGTACATGATGTAAAGACCTGTGGGTCTCCAAATTTACTGCAGGATAAATATTTTCAAAGAGTGAAAGGGATATGAATATCGGGCTCTCCATGGTGATCTTGCCTGGTGCTTTGTGAGTCAGATTAGTAAATCACTCCTGGGATCTGGATCGATGAGAGTCCATCTCAATTTCACTTATGCATATAAGTTAATTTTTAACTTTACTCATATCACTCATCCCTTGACAGACGTGTCAGAGTGTAATTCTCTCCTTTCAGAAATTTAACGAAAGCAAGGCTGGGTCTTTCCTTTCCCTCCCCTTCCCACTCTTGGCAGAATACAGCTAACTTGACATAGATACATAATTAAAAGTGTAATGGGGCAATAAGTGTTATTTAATTAACCCCAGTTTTTAATTTTCAGTATTATCAATTAAGTATGATACATATTTACTAGGGTGTGTTTGTGTAGGTGTGTGTGTGTGTGTGTGTGTGTGTGTGTAGGGGCATGGGTGTGATGTTGCAGCCTTGCATCACTGTACTGGTATAAATTGATTCCAAAATAATAAAATGCAGGTGATGAATTACTTTTAAATTCAAAAAATTTCTCCGAGATAATATCTTTGCTTTGTTTCAGTGTGTTATGGGGTGGGAGAGTCCGCATTTTAGACCTTCATGGATACGTTTTAACTCTATGTCTTTGGCAACACAGTCATGCATCACTTAACAACGGGGACATGGGCTGAGAAATGAGTGCCCGGGAGGTTTTGTCCCTGTGCAAACATCTTATATTGTCCTTACACAACTAAGATGGCTACACCGCCTCTGGTGATCTAATCTCATGGCACCACTGTTCCCTATGCAGTCTCTTGTCTGAAGCATGGTTAGGTGACACATGATGCGTTTGATTTGGTGAAGTCAGTGGCTGTATTAGCTTACTTACAAATTGATGGGTTTTTTTTCAGGATCCCTTGGGGGGTGAGAGTGAAACTGGGTGCCTTTTGCAGCACAACAAAGTTGACCAGACTGTCATTTCTTCTTTTGAAGGAGCAATGTCAGGAGGCTTTAGTTTTCAGGTTACCGATGGTCTGAACTTTGCACCTCGGCAAATCTTTAGTATCACTGCTCGTGCTTTGGTCATTAGCTTAGAAGTCAACAGAGGACTGAGCGTCTTTCCAGGTAAGATTTCATCTTGGGCAAGGGTTGTTTTGGTTTAAGTGTTTTGCCATTTGTTTAGAGAGTTCCACCAGCATGGTATAAAGTATCATCTTTACCTGTAGATTGCTATAACAACATTTATAAAGTTCTAGAAACAATTCTCTGCAGAAATTTAGCTGAAGCATACACAGCCCTTCTGTCTTTCCCCTTTCTTCTTCCTCAGAAGAGGGTACGCTGGTGAAGGGCAGTGGGGAGGAGTCATAGAAGCAGCCTTCTTTATGGTCCCTGTATGTTTTTCCTACTCTTATTAGAGTCCTTACAGAAGCATGGAGAGCCAAGCTGTGCAGTGCTCATCTGGTTTTATTTTCCTGGGATTTTTGTATTTTGGTTTTGGTTTTGGTTTTGCAGTACCAGGGATTGAACCCAGGGTCCTGCACATGCTAGGCAAGCACTCTATCACTGAACTACACCTCCAGTGGAATTTTCGTATTTTGAATATAACAACCCTTGCAGCAGGAAGAGACTGTCAGTGGTTTCAGAGAGCCCTTGCTTTGGGTCCTGCAGCCTCTGAATGGCTGTTTGCCAGGAGTCTCAGCCTGCCTGGCCTAGCAGGAGCTAAGAAGCCCTCTCTGGCCCAACACCCTCATTACAGGGAGGAGGAAAGTTTTACCCAATGGCAGCAGCAATAAAAAAAGGAGAAAAAAGTTGAATTTGTTATTTCCAAAAATAAAAAGCACCAAGGTGGAAATATAGGAGATAATAAAATTTTAATATCTAGAATATTGAAGAAGAAAAAAACCAAAGCAACTATATACATTATGGCTTATTTAAATAACATGCATTACCAGTGAAACATAAATATTCAAGAAAGACAGGAATAATTTTATTAGTTATGGTCATCCTAGCCAGTTGTTTTAACTACTGTTAAGATTTTAAAAACAGTGATGCCTGGGCTTCACCTCACACCAGTTGAAAGGGTCTCTGGAATGGGGTTTGGCATCATTTTTTAAGAACCATTTGGTCCTAAGTGGAGCCAGGAATCTGGTCCTTAAATTCCTACAATGACACAAGATAGATGACATTCTCCTGGGAAACTGGCAGGCTTTGGGGCTTAAGGGAAGAC